AATAAAGAAAAAAAATGGCAATGATTAAAGTACGTAAACACTAAAGATGCAGAAGAGATATGTGACTATTGAAAGACATGTTTGCTCATTTTATTCAAAACTTTTGATTTGTCAATCTCATTTGCATCTCGATATGTGTTTCATATCCGAAAGAACAACGTTTGCAAGTAGTATCGGCTAAAGAATGAAACAAGAAAAAAGCAGTGTGTTATATTATTACATCATGAACAAGCAATAAGAAATCAGTTATCTCACATGATATTTTTTATTATACAATGTCTTTCAGTCGAATAGATCGGTTGTCTATTAAATTACTTCACGATATTTTTGATTATCTTTGAGTACATGATATCTACTATTCATTTTCTAGCCTAAGTGATTACCTGGATTCTGTATTAGCTGGCTATTGTCACTATTTACTCAACTTTCGTTCTGTTCTTAAATCGAAATTTGATCTTCTTTGCCAACATATATGACCACATCGAGTCATTTCTATTGTATGGTCCCATAACAATGATACATCAAATCAATCAAACCTGTTATTTTCTCATTTTAAACTCGAACAATTCATTCATCTTCAATCATTCGATATGACTACGATTAGTGATAATAAACACAGACATACACTGCTATATATAACTTAATTCCTTGACTGAATCGACTAGTAGTACCGCATGCTCATAATCTCGTTTTGGTTTTATTGCCTCGTCTACATCATTTAACTCTTCAAAATTTCTTTTAGTGGAACTTGTCATTTATATTAAATCAAATTTCTAATCTTTGCTCACTTGATGTCAAACTTTCATATGATAATTATCCAAAGTGGACGGATAACATATTATTGTCCCATCTAAGATGGCTCATCCTAAATATCCATGGTGCGTATAATTGTTTGAAAATTGTATATATATATTCATTGTTTTTTAAAATTAAGGTAAAAAAAGACCATGATCCATGTAGAACAATTTTTATCTAAACTATCTAATCTATATTATTTCGAATTTATCGCACAAGGTTATCTGGATCTTACTAATGGCCAAAAATGGGAATTACTTGTTTCACATTTGACTATATTCAACTTTCGATTGCATCTTCTATGTTCATTACCAGATTTTTTCCGAAGAAAATGTTCTTGATTCATTTTGTTCGCTATTTTGACTTGAACAAAAACGCTGATTTGTTGCCAATGATGGTTCATATTCGCGAAATATCTTTATGGTACCTTGTTTCACATCAAATATTCTCGTATGTCCGAATATTTATTGGCCACCAATATGCACATTGTCCAATTTCTGTTTTGATAAATATATCCATCAAGTTGATTTGTCATTATTTAATTCAATTATTTAATGTTTTATCAATGTCACATCACTCGTATTCAATATAGAAGAAACCGACACCAATCTTATATCGACTTCATTTCTCGATCTCATTGAACATATGCCTCATTTAAGTTCACTTTCGCGTCAAGATCTCTCTATATTAGCTGGCTTATCATATGATATCGCCTTCGAAGCGATACAAACTTTACACGTATGAAACAATTTTGAAAAATCTGAAAGTGAAATCCACTATCGATTGGACTTAAATCGATTATGTAGTTTTATTAATTGATCAATTGAACTATCTATCAATTGCACAATTTCAATTCTATTATCGTTCATCGTCATTGACGCGTTTCTCACCTCAAAGTTTTTTTAAAGATATTTCATCATATGTGAGAGTGGAATGAGATGGTTTCATGTTTTATGCGACGGTTCAATGATATCTTTGAGAATAATAAGTTATAATTGAGTACGAAAAACTAATCGATCTTTATCAAGATGATAATTTTTAATTTCATTGAGCGAAAAGCCGGTTCAGATCACTCGAGTTTCTGAATAGCGTTTTAAATTTTATAGTAATAATCTTCTTATCAATAAACAGAAAACTACAAACACAATCATATAAAAATTGTCTTCGAAGAATTACTTTTATTTTCGAAGAAATTTTTGTACGTTGGAAATTTGTTTTTATCTTATATTTATTCTGCTTCAGTGGGACTCTAATTCGTTCTTAAATATATCATTAATATATATTTTCTCATTGTTTTTGCTTTTCTATTCTTTGCTTGTTATTGAATATTTTCATTTTAAATTCGTCACTAACATATTGTTTGCGATAGATCATATTGATGAAACATTTTTGTTAATATGTTGAAATATTCGATACGTCAAAATGTTTTTAGTCTCGCATATTTTGCATATAAAAAATATACACCAGCTCCAATGCTTTGACTACCTGTAACTTTTATCATGTCAAATAAGTCTTGAAAAAAGCTCAATCTTATATCAATATCTATACAAAAATCAAAATTTTTTCTACATAAGATGTATTGATTTTAATCGTTCTTTCTCCAAAAAATTAGCTTTTGGAGAGCAAGATTATTTTTCGTTTCAACTTAGAAGAAGAATAAATATTTTTCGAATCAGTTTTGATAGAAACTAGAGAGTTTCACACTTGAGAACAGAAGATAAAAGTGTATTTAATCATATATTAGCACTATGTGAGAATCACATGAGCCCTTTTCTAATACTCAACTGTCGTAATATTCTGCTGCACAATTAACCTTTTTCGACAGAATAAGAGATAGAAATAAGTATTTTTGTAAACTTTTTACTTTTACAACCAAAAAACGAAAAGATAAAATAAAGTTGAATTGTCATGAGCATTTCTTAAATCTATTGCCATTTTATGTGGAAATGGCACAAATCGGACAAAAAAAATCTTTGAGCACAATTCGTGCGAGATTAAAATGTGGAATATGATCGAATCATTTCAAATATCTAAAGAGAATACTTCTTATTTTTGTTACAATCCATCATAAGATTTAAGTAAGAAATTTCGAAAGAAGTAGCTTATTTTCATTTCACTTGATTGAAAGATGTTTCAGGAAAAAGCACATCATTTATCAAAAAAAGCAATCACTAACAAATTTTCGCTTTCGCAATAAGTTTGTCTGAGTCAATAATGATTTTTTTGTTCGTCTAATATTCTACATTTTAAACAGGAAATAACATTTTCATTTTACTCGATAGCAAAAGTCAATCCCCATCAAGAATTTGTCTTATTTTGTACTGTTGGACAGTTAGCCATCATGGGAAAAACAACAGCAGAAAAGTTCGTACGCCATCATGCCGATTATTAAGAAAATGTGTCTACAATGAATGACCTTGGCAATGTAACATCGATAGCCATTGAGACAATTCTTATCGGCTAATACAGAGCATTTGCTAGAAGTCTTTCGAAATTGATGTAGAAAATTAAATAATAAATATAGCATTAGTGATATCAAATAATGGTGTTGCAATATCAACTAAGATGCATGGTAAAATAATAACTCTTTGAATGTTGCCATTTCTTTGCTTTCTTCTCCTGAAAACATAAAAGTAAGGAAAATTTTCAACCAAAAACAAATGATAAATCAAATTGTTAGTTAGTTCGATATATTTTTTCATTGGAATAATAAAATTGAATTCATAATAAACATTCGTTTCCTCTAGTAATCTCTTTTTGACACTCATATATAAACATCTTTTTTCTCTCATTTTGCTTGGATGATTGAATTATTTCGATGTTTATTAGTTTTTTTTTCCAGCAAATGTTATTGCATTTGATTTGATTAATATCAAAACAATAAACAGAACAGATTGATTTTTTTTATTCATTGAAGAAATAACTGAAATAAAGTCTTTTTTTTAAGAAGAATGGAAAAATTATTTGACTCTTCAATGTGTAATTTATGTTCATTGAATATCTTATTCAGATAGTCTACACTTTACTTTTCTAAGAAGAACTCTTCATATTTCGATAGACTATAAATTAAATCAACTAAAAAGAAAAAATTATCTTTAGTTCAGATAGGAGATTACTCGTCATTAGAGATTGGATCTTTATCTAGTAAATTCGAATAGAAATATCAATGAATATTTTAATTTGTGTTTGACCAGATAAACCTTGAAAAGTCATTGAATCAACTTCGAAAAATAAAAGATTGATTAGGATTTTCTCGACAACTATCTGATGTTTTGGACTGACAATGGAAAATAAAAAATCGTTGTATGTTTTTCATATTGAGAAACGTCTTGTAACCAAATGGTCTGATGACCAGGTAATCGCTAGGAGAAACGGAGAGGGAGCTGATGTTAATCAATTCTATGGGATCTTATCCTGATCGATTGGAAAAATCATCATGTGACAAAATGACCACTTGGTACTAGAGAACTTTCAGCGTTTCTCTAAGATTTTTTTTCTCTATTCAAAATCATGACTGTTTATGTGCTGCTCGTTTTCTTTGTTGACAAAAACATAGTTTTTGTACGTTATATTTTGTTTGTGTTCTGTCGTTGATACAACCTACATTTATATACTGCAAGAAGAAAATCTACTTTTTCTTTTATCTAGCGTCTGTCCTCTTTCGCCCTAAGAAAATAAGAGAAAAAGCAAAAAGTGGGTATATGTTTGTGCACGTATATAAGAGAGCGAGCGGGATATCTAAGTGTGTGTTTGCTTAGACAAATGACGATGACACTATCGTTATCATACTTGTTGTCGACCAAAACACCTTTTTTTTGTTCAGGTCTTTTCTCTTATTTTTTAGATGCCATCAGCTGATTGAATAGCTTCGAATGTTGAAGTTAAATATACTCAAATCTTTATCAACAATGAATGGCATAAAGTAACAAATGGAAAAACATTTTCTGTCATCAATCCAAGTACAGGAGAAGAAATCTGTCAAATAGAAGAAGGCACTAGAGTATGAATCTCTATATGTTCCTCATTGGTTCATTATCTACTGTGATTTTTAGGCTAATGTTGATAAAACAGTTGAAGGTGCTCAAACAGCTTTTGATATTAAATTACCATGACATAAATTAGATCCTCTGTCTGTCTCTCAACATAAGTCAATATGTAGAAAATGGAAACACTTAACAATGGTAAACTAGTAGAACAGATTAAAGATGAAATATTTTTCTCAGTTGATTGTACTAAAACCAACTGAACAAACACCACTTAGTGCACTTTATTGTGTTGCTCTTATCAAAGAGGTAAGATATTATTATGTCGATTATACTTTGTTGTTGTCATGATGATCGAGAGTGGCTTTCCACCAGGTGTTGTCAACATCATACCAGATAAAGTGAATGATATTTGTCATAATAATTTCATAAGAATATTTAGGTGATATACTTGAATGTGGTTATGCAATTGCTGTTCACGCACACATTGATAAAGTAGCTTGTACTAGTCCAGTTGAAATAAAAACATTCACTAATAAAACTAAAAAAAAAAAATGGATGTGAAATGTTTGATTGAAGGTTGGAAAAAAAATACAAGAAGCAACAACTAAATTAAATCTTAAATGTGTTACATTTGAACTTGGTTAGTAACAAATACAGGATAATTTTCATCTGAGCTATTCTCTTTTCACATATCGATGGCAAATCTCCTTTGATCATCTGAGGATGAGGATGAGTATTCTATAAGATTTTCAAATAATCAAATTGATTCTAATACTGAACAAGGATCACAAGCAATAACCTCTTTAATCTAAAGAAAAGTTCCCTTTACTTGTGTATGATAGATAAATGATAGTCAATTTCAATAGATTTTGGATTTTATAGAATCAAGTTAAAAGTTTGGAGATAAATTAGAATGTAGTGGTAAACGAGTTGATAATAAAGATTATTTTATCAAAGCAACTATTTTTAGTGATGTAAAAGATGATATGCAAATTACTCGTGAAGAGGTATAACATTTTTTTTTATTAGATTCTATAATAATGTAAAAGTTTAGATATTTGGTCCAGTAATGTCAGTCTTAAAGTATGGTTCATATGAAGAAGTTATCAAACGAGCAAACGACACGACTTTTTGACTTGGTGCTGGAATGATAACTAGAGACAGTAAATTTGAAAGAAATGATTATTGATGATTATTCTAGTTTTACAGTAAAGTGTGGTCTTACGTTGGCTCATCAAATATGACCTGGGTCTGTTTGGATAAATACTTATAAGACTATATGTGATCAAGCACTATTTGATGGCTTTAAAGAATCAGGTCAGGAAAAAGAATTAGGTCGATATCGTCTCGAAGCATATTATCAAGTAAAAATAATTGTTGTTAAACTCGTTTGAGGAAAAACAATACAAATTTTTCATGACGAACAGCTATTTGGATTTGCTTGTTTAACTTTCTAACATTTATGTAGTTTGCTCTCTAAACTCTTCCATGTATTGCGAAAGTCTCACTAATACGTACAACTAATTTAAATAAAATGTTTAAGTGCAAAGAATAGAATACTACGAGCAATCAGTTGAAACAACCCCTAATTACGGTAATAACTCGTATGAATGATCATAATCTAGTTTCAATTTAAGATACATAATTAATAATATTTAAAATTTTATTGTTTAAAAGACTTTAAACAAAATACAATACAAAGAAACAAATTGATTATTGAAGAAGGAAAAGTATGATAGATTCTTTTCTGCTATCGTAAAACATTACTTATTGATTATATATATATAGTGAATCTAAAGAAGTTTTTATATATAATAAATGTTTTGATTGTTCCTGTTCTCTATCATCTAAGTGACATCAGTTTTGAACAGTAACAATAATATTCTTATGAAAAATGTTAATTTGTTAACTGAAATCACATAAGTAGATATATGATATTAGCGAAGAGAATGCTTTAGCCTGTTATTTACAACGCTTTCGAAATCCAGCGTACAATTATGAAAATTAGTTCTATTCGCTTGAAATCTTCGCTATTCTAAAAATTCCTTCTTTCCATCGTGGCAATTTCGTTCTGGAAGTCTTCCTTCATATATTGAGTGTTTCACATTAAACGAACTGATAAGATCTTTAGTAATAGAGTCACATCAAAAGAATATGATTTTGCATATACTAAGAACGATCTGATTTGCACCTGTTAGTAAAATAGTTCTATAGTGAAGTGCAATATCAAATACATATATTATTAAAAAAATTGTTCTTCGCTTGTCGCAAAGTCTAATCGATAAGACAAGTTTTAAAAAATACCACATTGATACGGAGACTTGTTACAATACTCAGGTGTGCAACCTTATCAAATTTTTGTTTTCTCTTAACCAAATCGGTTTCATAAGTTGAACCATTCGTTAAGATTGAAGACATCATCTACAACTGAAACAGAAATGAATATAAGTAGATAAAGGAACGAGTTAATATATGTTTATTCTTTCTTTTCTTCTTATGTGATAAATCAAGGTCAATCATGTAGACAAAGATGAATCCGTTCTCTATCATTAATCCAAGTACAGATGAAGAAATTTGTCAAGTAGAAGAAGGCACAAAAGTATCAATATATATACACACATGATTATTTTCGTTCTACGTGTAATTTTTATTGTTTCCAATATTGTAGAGTGATCCTGATAAAGCAATTGAAACTGCTGAAAAAGGCTTCCAATATGATCTGCCATGGCGTAAGTTAGATCCTGCTGTACGTGCTCAATTAATTCATAAACTTGCTTATTTACTTCCGCATGTTGTGAATTATTTAGCAGTAAAAATGTTCACTCTGTTTGTTTGTATCTACATCATAAATGAATATTCAGAAATTAGAAACACTGAATAGTGAAAGACTGCTACAAGAGAGTTATTACGAGATTCTTGGGGCAGCTGTTTGTCTTGATTGTTGTAAACCTCTCTGACATTCTCTTTTTTTTTATTATCGATGATATTCACATGTTACAGATGCTGGATGGGCTGATAAAATCACTGATGAAACACTTCCATCAGAATCAGGTATTTTTATTACCTATATTAGACATGAATCAGTTGGGATCTATGGACAAATCATTTCATGGTCAGTTCAAACATTCAATAAATGAAAATTCAAATTGTACTTTCTTCTTTCAGTGATTATTCAGTACGATATTCTTTCTTACATATGCATCGTAGAAAAGTATTGTTGCCATTATATTTCAGACTGTTATGTTGGCCTTGAAACTTGGATCAGCATTAGTTTGTGGTAACTTCATTACTTCTATTAATTTACACTTGATTATATATTGCAATAACAAATAGTCAATGTAGTTATTCTCAAACCAGCTGAACAAACCCCACTTACTGCACTCTTTTATCCTTCTGCCATCAAAGAAGTGTTATTCAACATCTATGAACAATCGAAGTTTATTCTAATACTAAATCAATAATCTAGACTGGTTTTCCACTAGGTATTGTTAACAGTGTACCAGGTAGTACACATCACCAGAATGAAAACAACTCTTATAATGATATACATATGTAAGTCATGGACCTAACTGTGGTCATGGATGAAAAGATTAATAAAATAGCTTTTACAGGTTCGCTCGAGGCAAGATTAGTGTAGATGAAAGACAAAATAACAAAAGCACACGATATGTTGTTTTAGGATGGGAAAAAGATTCAAGAAACTGCAGGAAAAACTAATCTAAAGCATGTTTCATTGGAACTTAGTTATTAAAATAATCTTTCTTACCTGTCTGCTTTGTTGCCTTTTTCATCACATATAGGTAGTAAATCACTATTAATCATTTGTGAAGATACTGATCGTATGTATTAAATAATTCTATTACTTTCATTTTCATTATGCTTCCTAATGATGAAAACGGTTTATAAACGATAGAATTAATTTGTTTTGCATATTTTAGCCGATGTTCCTGTTCGAACTACTCATAGAGCAGTGTTCACTCATGCAGGTCAAGTATGTTTTGCTGCATCAAGAATATTTGTTCATTCCACACTTCACGATGCCTTTGTGTCCAAAAGTGTCGAATTAGCAAAGAAACGTATCGTTGATGATCCATTTAATTCTACAACTGAACAAGGACCATAGGTATAAGAAAGCATTTCAAGCAAAGTGTCATAATCTAAACTATGGAAAAAACATATTGATTGAGGATTCAGAAAACAACTTGATAAGACGACAGATTAGCATTAATTTCTTTTGTATATTCTACAAAACAGTCATACTCAATTAGAAACAATTCTTGAATGTATTCAATCGGGTAAAAAAGTTGGTGACAAAGGTTATTTTATTCGACCTACTATTTTTACTAATGTAAAAGATAGTATGAAAATAGCTGGTGAAGTAGTTTGTCTTTTTTCTCTCTTCTTCATTTCATTGAAATTGTTTTCTTCTATTTAGAATATCTCTTGGTTTCAACTTATTTTCCCATTAGTCGATTCATCGGATATATTCAGCAACAGCATCGAAATTCTTATCTACATTGGAATCTGAATCATGGATTGAATAATACAAATAGTTTAGGTTCGATGTAAGAAACTTAGATACAATGCCACACTTCTCTAATTTCTGACGGTGCTTGACTGCAAACGTAGATCTCTCTACTAAGACATTGAACCTCATATGGTATCAAATGAAACTTAAGACAAAAAAAACATACCATGCAAGTTGTACACTACAGTCTATTCAAATGATTACCTTTTTATTTCTTTTTCTAATTTACTTATGAGTATTAGCAGAGGGTCTACTAGAATACCAGACAACATGGCTGGAGTAAAATTTTCGATTTTCGATTTAATTATCTGAAAATAAAGCTCGTATATAGATATTACTAAATCCGAAATATTAACTTGATCTGATAATAATTCATTGAATTATGACGTATGTCATGGTAACAAGCCTTATAGATTTATAATGCAAAATGATAGTTTTTTTTTTGATACTTTTTGATATATTGTAAAACTAAAGCATTATTCCAGGAATTGTTATAGTATTGACTTTTGTCAAAAGGAAGAGCATCTCTTTTTCTGTCGACTTCACACAAGTATCATTTTATAGGAAAAAAGGATTAATACGATGATTTTTTAATGAAAATATGTATGGTTTTTCCTACCATGTTTTTTCATGTTTTTTTGCGTTTTTTAAAAGTATTTTGACTTTTGAATTAAAAAATGGGGCTCCTCAGGAATTTTATGATATCAGAAGATAGCCCGTAAAAAAACTCCATCTTCTATGTGGAAATATCTAAGAAAAATTATGGCTGGCTCAACCAACTTTTATCAACGCAGTTTATCACGACGTATTTTTTATGCTGATTATAACGTGTTTTCATTGTTTCTTCATGTTAATCATTTTTCATTCACAATTTAATCTATAAGTTCATTTAATAAGCATAACGACATCGAGTAGAATGTCAGAGCCCTATTTCTAATGATACTTCTATGTATATAAATATGGTCGATCAAGTGAGCCCCGCAGTGCGTCAGTTCTAAATTTCGCGCTCACTTCACGCCAGTCCATTTTTATACTTAACAGCACATAGTAGGATTCTATCAATTGCAGCCATAGGCTATGAGCACGTTATGTGATTGTAAGTTAGTTAATTAATTAGTACCCAACTAATTAGAACTAATTGGAGAGAGTACATTGGGGTCATCCTAAGTTTTCATGGTCTTTTAGGCATTTTCTAAAGAATTGGTAAGAACCTCACTTATACGCCACATATTAGCTGATCTTGAATGCGTTAGGAAATATTAGGTTCATGAGTAATGTAAGAAACGTGTACTTGAATTTTGCTTTAGCAAGTAAGAGTAAGCTTTTTTGTTAGCTGAAGGTAATTGAGTCGCGTGATAGAGTATCTTCGATACACAAGTAGTATATGCGGCGGAGAAAATGTTTGAAAATTTGGGTGAACTTTGAGCACTTCTGTAGTTAAAGACCGATTGATCATTAGATGTGCAACAGACCCGGCTCATGCGAACAAAGCTGGCTGACTAGTTCTAGCTTAACGAACTGAGCTGAATCTATGATACACCTACTTACGGTTGCCGCTGCAGGATAGGGCTTTAGGATTTATAGATACTCCTATATAATAGGTCTTGAGTACCTGCAGCACAGTCGGTAGTTTTCGCATAAGCAGGCGAACATACAATTTTTTTGCTCAGAAATAAACATATATCATTCAGAGAATCGTCTTTGAGAAAACAGAAAGTTTTTAAGAAAAAAATTTACGACAAAATCTGGCTGGGGAGTACCTCAGCCATGATTTTCCGAAAAAAATTTGTTTTGAAAAATATGCTGAGCTACATATCACTCGAAGTAGTGTAATGCGTTCATTCCAAATATCACCATAGTTTTTCTTCAAAGAGTAATGTCAGTGCCAAAAATCGGATTTCCTACTGTAAAATAGCTTAGGAAAGGTTTCATAAGTTTGTGCCACTATCATAAGTAGGTTACATATGTAAGAACGTCTGGTAAAAATGCGCGCTCAATTCGACGTTTTCTCTTTGTAGTGCGTACAATATATGGAACGATATGTTTTCAGATAGGTTTTGAATCTCGAGATCCTCTGTCTTCTACTCTATTTTAAATTAAATTTGGATCACTTTTTTTAAACATAAGATCTACCCTTGAGGAAGCTTTTTGTGATATTATTTGTTTGTGCCATATTGTTTCATATTGCCTAGTAGCTTGATTTCCTTCATTTATGCTGATTTCTGGAGCGCAAGTCTTGGCAAGCTCTTTTCTTGGGCTTTATAAAACTTTGAGAACCGCTATTTTAGGCAATGATAGATCACATATGCATGTATCTACGCAAATCGTTAGATTCTAGAAAAGAATATTTTCGCACATGTCCGCCTGGCTCCTCACTGTAACAGCCATCAACGCTTGCTGATTCAGCGTTACTTCACCTGTGTATTGACTTTGTGTTGTTCTACTTGTAAGTTGGATAAAACCCACTGATGATAGCTAACAAAATGCTCCGTCCTTCATTTTCTTATTAAATTTTTCATTATGCAAATGAAGACTGCTATTCAAGTATGTTGTGTGCAAAGTCATCGACTTTCCGTGAAAGAGGAATAAAAGTATGTGCGCCAACCAACTTTTTTCTCTCTTTCTGCGATTAATTCCTGTGACACAAACGACACACTGTATCATTGTTAAAAAACAAAACAGGGGTTCATAGTGTCTTGTCGAGCCTGTTTGAATACATAATATATCCATTGTAGGCTTCTTAACTAATTGGTGATCAAACAACACAAAAATAAAACTTTTGAAAAGTTCATTTCTCAAACCGATGCGAATCTTTGCGAAGAGCTCGTAATGGTACAAGACTCTCATGGAAAAGTCTTCAACTAATCCATGCCGTTTTTGTTGATATTTTGCCTATATGTAGGGTTCGATGAGATTAGAAAAAAACTTAAAAGGATAACAGCCCATAGGCTTTCCTTCTCAAGTTAGGATCATTTTACTTGGCTTACCACCTAGGACAAGGGATTCAGCGAAAAATCAAATCGAGAAATTTCGATCTGAATTTTGTCCACATGCAAGTCTTATGGCCTATATATTAGCCTAAAAGTTCCAGTCAAAGCGAACGTCTCTTTCTCGAAATATTGCGTTATCAAGAAAACATTACCATGCTACATACATGTCAGGAAAATCGACTTCTATGGAAAAATCAATATTTCACGACAGAAGCATTTGTTTTGACTGCAACCTTAAGCCTAATATATAGGTCATAAGACTTGCATGTGTACGAAAGTTGATTTTTCACTGAATCCCTTGTCATAGGTGGTAAAGCAAGTAAAATGATCATCATTCGAGAAGGAAAGATTATGCACCGTTATCTTTTTAGAATTTTTTCTAGTGCCATCAAAACATGCATATGGGCAAAATACCAACAAAAACGGCGTGCATCCGTTGGAGAACTTCGTTTTTCAGTAATTTTGATGTTAACCTTGTAGAATTCTAGTCTATAGTCGACTTACTAATGATCAAAGAGCTAGAATGAAGTGAGTCCTACAAGAGTGCCCTTCGAAATACGATAAAAAGTAAAATCAATGGCTGGTTCAAAGGGATTGAAAATTTTCAAAATACAAGTTACAAGGAGACGCTATCTATCTTGACATGAGTGCGTGAAGAGGCCTGACATCATTCACGCCAACTGTAACGATTACTCTACTGTTTCACATAATCGACATGGTTTTTAACTTGAAGAAGAATGAAGGCATGAGGGTGTGGGTGTGGCTTGGATGTGCGTATGGGTGTGGATTTCGCTGTAGGTGAACGTGTGTTTGCTGAAGAGAAGACTCACACCCACACCTACACTCACACCCATACCGTGCCTATATTGACACCCACAACCACGTTCATGTCACTCGCTTCCGCTCTCACATTTACAGCCACACTCCCACACAGTCATCCACTACTCACAATTACAGCTGTACCAACCCACATCGATGTCCGCCCAGAGCCGCAGTCACAACCACATCCACCAGCACCAATTCACACCATACGGCCACAGCCACAGCCACATCCACTCATACTCACATTCGGAAACCCGTCTACCTAGACACACAGATCCCAACATAAGATCGCACTAGCCTACAAGTTTATGATGATTATACCTCCACTTATTGCCTTTGTATCTTTCTTCTTGTTATCTTATTCTTGTCATTCTATTTAATCTTGCTTAATTTCTTCTTATCTTGCATTGTCAGCCTTGTTTTATAGGGTAAATAAAAGTCAATAGAAAAAAAAACCAACGAAAGCTGGAAAGAATAACGATAAGATAAATGATGTTGTTGGATTTTTTTCTTTCGTTTGCTTTTGACAAGCATATTTTCAATTGAAAGTAGGTGGGGTTTATCTTTGAGTGTCAACAAAAAAAACACGCACCCATATTTGACGTCGTAGAATAATCTAGAAAAAACATCCAATATCGAATATATAAATAGAAAACAGTGGTCTCTATTCAAACAACAATTGATCCTTCACAATATTAAATCGCCGAGCAAATGTTAAAAACAACATCGAAAATGAGTAGACAACGACGACTACGAATGGCTGAAAATTACATGGTCATCTGG